AAACGGGAAACAACGGAGAAGAGAAAGACTCGATGAGGACGAGAGAGAAAAGCTGAAGGAGCTCACGGAGGAGAAGAAGAGACTGGAGGAGAGCAAGCAGAGGTGGAGTGACCAGGTAATGGTATTGCAAGAGAGATTGACCACTCAGACAGGTAACGACTTTGTGATTCCTTCATATACCACACCCTCCTTGTTAGTATAACTTAAAATAATTCCTTTCTTGCACTGCATTCTTTGTTGCGGTCTGCACGCCGCTTCATTATTCTTATTGGCATACGCGTCCTTGACGTATAAATAAACAAGCGCTGACCTCCCTTTTTTTTTATTTTATTTTCTATATGTCACTGACTACTTTCGCTATCAGCGCCTTCCCAAGGTATGCCTTTTTTAACATTCGTCAAAAACCTAGAATAGCTTAGTATGAGACGTGCCTTCATGCACCAAACCCTCCTTGTTAGTATAGCTTTAAATAATGCCTTTCTATTAATGTCACCCACTGATTTTTCATTGTGGTCTGCTCGCTGTCGCTCTCTTTTTTTTTGTTCTACTGTTTAACCCCTACATATCTACCCACTCGTTCTTCTTTTAACTTCAATTCCACCATCATATTGCACATTGTCATGTAGATCGTCCTGAAATTATTTTATCATTCGAGGATGTTATGAAGACGATTACATCAAACTTCAAACACTTAAAGCGATCCAGTAAAATTGCAACAGAGGACATTCCGTTGCAAGGCCGCGACTTCGCTAATGATTTAAAAATAATTAAAAAAAACGTTACTAATTCTGAATGGAAATCGGGCACTGTGGCGAAGACTGACTACAGAATTCTTGTGGCTGGGGGGACTGCAGGAATAGGTATTTGAATGAAGTCTTTTACTATCCGATCTCATTCTAATTATAACTCGATATCATATCAGGAAAAACCCGTTATGGCAGAGAGTTGTTCAAGAAGTTAGAGCAAGATGTAAACCTTCAAGAAAGCATTGAAAAACCAATTTCTTTTGTATATTTATTACTTGACTTCAGCAATGGTTTGAAGTTGAACGAAGACGACAGCGAACTGTCGATACAGATACTTGTTGGTTTGCGGATAGCGTACGCCTTCTTCATCTGGAACAATTATGATGTGGAGTTTACCATATTCCGACAGACTGTACGACTGCTCAAGCTGACGAGTCGCTTCAATAGCAGTACCGTAATTGCCGGAATTCACAAGCATCTAAATCTCAGCGTCGACCGCCTTCTCTTTTTGTTCTTACACATTGATGAATTTCAGACCATTTTCGAATTTAGTGGCTGGAAGGCTGACATGAGGAAAGATAAAAACGGTAAACCCAAAGGTATATTCAAGGCAATGTTATACGAAGTTGCACAGTTTATGGTTGGATCCAACATTTACTTCGTTCAGCCGTTCCTCTCGGGAACCGCTCCACAAGAGGTAATTCGGCAAAAAGAACCTACCATGTACTCTTTCGAATTTGTCGATTGTTCTCTGTTGAATATGCAGGCACGAATCAATATAATGAACCATTTTGCGACCAAAAGTGGCTTTTCTGAGAAGACATGGAACCTGCAAGAACGGATGTATTTTCTGTTATGTGATACGGGTGGACTTCCACGAGCGATCCAGTGTTTGTTGGAATGTTGCTTTGGGAAGAAATATGAAAGAACAGATGTTTTTTTTGAGAATATCAGTTCGTTGGATTACAGTGACATTTATAATGACGTAGCAAGAGGCCTTGACACTATGTACGGAATCAAACAATGGGTTTTTGAAAACAAAGAACTTGTTGAAGTCATCATAGACCGATGTCTTGCAATAATTCCATCAAGGCGGCCGGACTTGCTCTCGCCCAACCGCTCTGATACTCTGGAATCTTTAGAACGTGATCAACATTTGGTTCTGACAGATTACTCTATTGACGGTCGTGTCCTGATTACAGTACCGCCTATTTTCATTAATATTTATATCCGAGCCCTCTCCCCGCCCACAAGCACATTGAAAATGTCATTCTTGCCAGGATGGGCAATGGAATGGAAAGGTTTTGAAATATTCGTTGCGGAATATGTGGCATTCCGCATTAGTGCTCTCTTTCGCTTGGGGCATAAAACGGTGGCCCTCAAAAACATTTTTCGGGGTGCTTATGGTTCTTCGACGTTATTAAATAAGAAAGTTGAACTCCGCAATACCACCGTTAAGCAACTCCGCAATAAGTTTCCTATGACTGCATCTGCTACTGATAAGCAATTTGAAAACGTAGACATCAAGTCGGGAATGATTGTAAATGGGGATAAGGCATCATTTGCTGACTCTTTTATAGTTTTCGTAAGTGTTTGGGATTTTAAAAAATGTCATGTTTCTTTGAGAAGCTGGTACCTTTGCTCACATCTCATTAAAATATTAGGAGAAGTCGAAACTAATAGTAGGCATCCAAAATAAACTGCGGAAGGGCTCCTTTGAGGTATCCGATATGCAGAAGGAGCATGACAAAAATGTGACCGCAATCAAGGAAGCACCACCTGAGTTTGACATTAACGATTATACTGTTATTACGGTATTCATATTGTCTGCCAATTTCAAGGGAGATATTGCTGGCTACTGTAAAAAGCCTCTACAAGACTGCCTTATGATATGTCGGCATAACTTTGAAGACTTTTTTGGGCATGTCTTCAGCTGCCGCATTGCTTTGCAAATTGCTAGAGAACGTAATCCAAATTTTACCCCTCCAGACCATTGGTTAACAGTTTCAACGAAAATACCAGATTCTATTGTAAATCAAGTGTCCAAAAAAAGGCCTTTCTATTCTCCTCAAGATTTGTACGATCTCGACCCATGGTTTAAAACCTACGAAAAAGATATTAATGATATGTCGTACACATTGTATACTGAGGTCACTGACGTTGCGAAAGCGAAGAAGCGTCGACTTGAATATTATTTTTACAGTTATGATGATTATTACGATTAAAGATGAGATTGTAATTAATATGGTGCAACATATTAAAAATTTCGCAATTAGTCGCAGCTACCGTAACTAGTCGTAATTAATTATAATTATTACAACTAGTTATAACTGGTCATAACTGTTGCAACTAGTTGTAATTAGTTTTATTAAAATCATTATCATTTAATATATTTAATATATCAAATCTAAATGAATTAAATTGTAATATTTTTATAAGTATTAAATAAAAAAGAAAATATTTAAAATTAATTTATCTAATATTACTTAATATAGTAATTAAAATTTAATGATATTAAATTTATTAAAATTAGATATAAATTGATTGAAATATTTAAAATTAAAGTTATCTATTTAAAATTATATAATAATATAATATCTAAAATTTGATTGATTAAAATTAATAATATTATTAATGATATAATTATAACTAGTTATAATATATATATTATAATTATTAATAAAAATTACAATTATTATAACTTATATAAATAATTAAGTTATCTATCTTTAATTATAAATTGTGAATTATTAATATTTCTTTGATTTATATATGTCAGATTTTCTTTTTTTCTTTTATCTATAAATTAATTCAAATTTTAATATTAAGATTTATTTCTGATATAATCTAATAAATAATATTTTTCTAATATAAAATTTATTCTTATTTATTTAAATTATGAATCATACTAATATAATAATAATTTAGAAAGTAATTTTAGAATTTTAGAATAAATTTCTTAATTATATTAATTAATAGATTCAAATATTCTTAACTTATTTTATTATTTATATTATATTAATATATTTTTTAAAATAGTAAATAGTAGTAGTATAATAAACTATTATATATTATTATTATCTACTAAAAAATACTTATTTTTTTAATTAATCTTATTATTAAAATTGATAAATATAATTCTCAAAATATATTATCTGGCTGATAATTTAAAATAAAATTTAATAAGATAATTTTATTTATTAAAAATAATTTATTTTAATTATCTACTATAATTAGATAATCTTAAGAAAAACTTTTATAAAATTTTATATATTCATATTAAAAAATTTATTAACATAATTCTTAAAAGTTTAAATTATATAATTTTATTAAATAGTTTTAGCTTTTCTAATTCTAAATAATATAAAGGTTTAGATCTATATAATAATAAAAATCTAAGATAAAATAATTTAGTAACTCTTTCTATTTTTCTTATTATTATTATAATACTTTATTAAATAATAATTTGTATATTACTTAAAAATATATTAATATCAATCTTACAATATAAATAGAATTAATTTTTGAATAATTTTAGATAGTTTAAATAAAAATTATTAGTAATTTAATTATGTAAATTTTAAATAAATATATTAAACTAATTTAAAAATTAATTTTAAATTAAAATACAATTAGATCTTCTATAATTATATCTCTTTATAATTATCTTTTTTGAATTTTCTAACTATTAATTAATTATAAATAAAAAAATCTCTTTATAATTATATTTTTTTTAATTATCTAATTTTATTTTTTTAAGTATAATAATTATAAAGAGATCTAACTATATATATAATAAGTTTTTGAATAAATAAAGAATATTTTTAATTATATATAATTATTTTTAAAATTATTAAACTTATAAAATCTTTACTATAATAATTATTTTAATATTTTAATATAAATTTGTAATAATTTTGATTTGGTTATCTCTCTTTTAGATTCTTTTAGTTTAGATTTTTATTTTGTGCTATCTATATTACAAATTAACTTTATATTATATTTTTTTTAAGAAGATCAATTTCATACTGGATATATAGATAATTATTATATATTTAATATATTAGATTTAATATATTATCATGCAAATAATTATCATATATATCTATATTATAAATTTATATTATTAATATTTTTAATTAATTATTCTTTCTATAATTCTTTATAATTTTATTCATTCTTCTTATTATTAATTTATATTATTATTTATTATTATGAGTTAGTACAAAAAGATTTATATCTCAATATAAAAATTAATAATTACTTCTAATAAAAATCATTCAAATTTTAATTAATCTTTATAATTTTTTTATATTAAGTAAAAAATAATCTAAATTAACTTTTTATACTATTTTAATTATTCTATTAT